CACACGCACACACGTGCCTCACACCTACGTGCACGCACACCCGTGAACAAGCACGCACACACACACACACGCCTCACACCTATGTGCACACACATCCGTGAACAAGCACGCGCACACACACACACACACGCACACACGTGCCTCACACCTATGTGCACACACACCTGTGAACAAGCACGCGCACACACACACACACGCACGCACACACGTGCCTCACACCTATGTGCACACACATCCGTGAACAAGCACGCACACACACACGCACACACGTGCCTCACACCTATGTGCACACACATCCGTGAACAAGCACGCGCACACACACACACACGCACGCACACACGTGCCTCACACCTATGTGCACACACATCCGTGAACAAGCACGCGCACACACACACACACGCACGCACACACGTGCCTCACACCTATGTGCACACACATCCGTGAACAAGCACGCGCACACACACACACACGCACGCACACACGTGCCTCACACCTATGTGCACACACATCCGTGAACAAGCACGCGCACACACACACACACGCACGCACACACGTGCCTCACACCTATGTGCACACACATCCGTGAACAAGCACGCACACACACACACGTGCCTCACACCTATGTGCACGCACACCCGTGAACAAGCACGCACATCCGTGAACAAGCTTGCACACCTGTGAACAAGCACACACACCCGTGAACAAGCACGCACACACACACACACACACGTGCCTCACACCTACGTGCACGCACACCCGTGAACAAGCACGCACACACACACACGTGCCTCACACCTGTGTGCACACACATCCGTGAACAAGCACACACATCCATGAACAAGCACGCACACACGTGCCTCACACCTAGTGTGCACGCACAGGGACAGCAAACACGAGAGCCCGCGGGCGCGCACCTCGGCAGGCTCCCTGAGCCACGACGTCCAGCTCTCGCTGGGACTCGCACCGGGCCTTCTTCAGCTCACACTCGGTGCCGTAGGTGACGCCATCGGAGCCGCAGACCTGGGGGGGCGGTGTCAGTGGGGGGGCGTGGCCCCTCCTCATTGTCCACCCAGCGCCCGAGAGGGGGGGGGCT